GCCCACTAAAGGGCAGGCAGTGGCTCAAAGGAACCTTCAAGAAAAAGGTTCTCAGTGGCTTTGGCCAAAAGAGAAATGCCGGCCATGCTATATCTTGTGGAGGTTTCACATCCAGCTGGGGGCTACTGGCTGATGTCTGGATCCCTGCAGCCGATTTGGGCAGGCTGGGCTGTGGCGGTGATGTCTGGCAAGGCTGCATGAGAAAGCAAGCCTCTTCCATTCTGTCTTGCACACTGAGCAGTCAAAGGATGGAAAGCAAAGCTCTGAAGACAAAACTTGCCCCTCACCCCCAACTTACCACCTCTAAACACACACAATCCAATGCAACCCAAACAGCCTGACTCCCTCTTACAAGACCATCATCCATCGCTACTTGTCTACTCTTGAACTTCATCCACTTTTCTACAAGCACACACACACCCCATGCAAAGCTACTGAACAGTAGCTATTAGAATCCATTTCTAAGACCCTGTGTATGTAGAAGGCTAATGTTTTCAGAAGACTGATGGGTAAGCCTTAAAGGAAAATGACCGGAACCCCATAGCTCATTTGGTGAACCCTCCCCAAGTCAGGTTCCCTTCAGCCCTTATTGCAGCTCTCTAAGGTGAGGCTAACTGAACTCCCAATGTACAAACTGAAAAAAAGGCCTCAGCACAGGCCAATTTTACTTCCTGAATTTTCCCTTTCACTCTGCAGGTCTCTTGGGTGCTTAAGTTTCAGCTCAGTGCTTTGTTTCACTCAACACAAACCAGATATCCTTTCCAAGAAAAACACTGTCTCCTCAGGATAGGTGTCACCCCAGCAGCCACTAGACCCTACTGAAGGTTACAAAAAAAAAAGAGAATAAAATGGTGCCATGTTGCAGCATGAACTAAGCTCTCTCCAGAGTCCCACAGAGCAGCAGGAGCTGCTCCCCACTCCTCTAGGCTCCCACTTCCATCACAGAATGAAAGCAGCAGCAGCAGGAACTCTCCTGATCTCAACTACCTTCCCTGATCCCTTTATACATCTAGTTGACAAAGAATTTCAGAGAACTTTCTACACACCGGTTGTCTCTGCTCCACAAGAAGTTTAAAGTAAAGTGGGGAAGATAAATGACAAAAGTTAAAAATTACAGTACGGGGCTGAAGAAATAGCTCAGCAGTTAAGAGCACTGGCTGCTCTTGTAGAGGAACTGGGTTCAATTCTCAGAATCCACATGGTGGCTAACAATGATCCTTAACTCCAGTTCCAGGGGATCCGATACCCTCTTTTGGCCTCCATGGGCATTGCACACATAGGTACACTTACATACCTGTACACAAAACACATATACATAAAATAAAAATAAATAAAATTATAATACAATGAACCACTGTAAGTGCAGCATGCCTTTAGAATGCAGGTCCTAAGAGAGGGGACTCTGTTGTGCACTGCAATAGTCCCTGCAGCATACCAGTACCTGGCCCACAGTAGGTTGCCAATCATCTTACACCAAGTGACTGAGTGCAAGTATGCTATACTGCATACAACCCAGTAAGAGTTAGAACCCTGGCCCCAAAATCCTCAAAACTACTATTCATTAAGCATTTCCTAGTGCTGAACACTGTGCTAGGTGCTTTTCCCACAATTCCTGCATCTCCATGGGGCAACCCTCAGTATTCCCAATAAGCAAACTGATGTGCAGACAGTTAAACACAAGATCGCTAAGCACCCAAGCAAATCTGTCCCACTTGGTGGCTGGTGGTTCTAACCAGTAGGCACATGATGGCCAGGAGTGTGTTCCAGAGGTAGACTGGAAGGGAAGGAACAGATAAGGGAAGGTCAAAGCAGAAGATGCACGTGTGTGCGAAAGAAGATGTCCAAGGGAGACATGGAACTTTTCCCGGAAGAGATGAAACTTTTACTTATTTTGAGACAGGGTCTCATGTATTTCAGGCTGGATTTGAACTCACTATGTAGCCAAGGATGACCCTGAACTTGTGATCCCCTTGTTTCCACCTCCTAAGTGCTAGCATTACATGCACGTGCCACCATACAGTACTGAAAACAGAACCCAAGGCATCATGCATGCTAGGTAAGCACTCTACCAACTGGGCCCTTATCAACTCTTTCCCCAGTTGCTGAAATTCTCCTACTTGAATATGCCCCCTTCAAGGCAAAACACTCATAACCCAAGAATACATTTAAGGAGGACAATCCTTGCACTGTTCAAGGGACATCAGGTAGTCTCTGGCAGTCTCTAATTCAGAATAACCCCAGAAACTGGGAACTTACCAAAGATGAGCTAGGTGGGGAGCCATGGAGAAGGGCAATCCTCAAGCCCACCTCTCTTCCAGAAAGAGGGAAGTATTTCCAAAGCATACAGGGTTAAGAATCAAGTTTATTGCTAAAGTAACTCTACAAAGTGCTTGATGACTTCACACTTCCAGTCCAAACTTCCACTCCTATGAGCTGCTTCTGAGTTAAGATATTAAAATGCAAGTTTATATTCTGACTATTTTCCTCCCATACACATAGGACTGCGTCTCCCAACATTCTCAGCAGGAAGAAGGAAATGTTCCTCCTTCCACTCCCCTCATGGACCAGGAGTAAACTGTTTTAATCTTGGCAATAAATATCGATCAAGCACCAATTGTCTACCAGGCACTGCTGTATGTCCTTGGGCATGCAAGGGCAATCAATACATTCTATAGGAGGCAGACAGGCAAAAATTAAAAATAAATAAATAAGAGCTCTTTAAACTGTGATGAATTCTGTGCAAAAAGAAAAGGATGCCAGGCAAGAGCGTGAGGGGAGGTACAGTTTATCTGTGCTTTTGAGCCAAGATCTGACTGAGGAGGAAGAGCTATTTCAGAAGACCACATCCTCAGCCAGGGAGCAAAAACTGGAAACCAACAAAAAAAAAAACCCTAAAATGGTTCATGTATCTGAAGGGAGGAAGGCCAACTAACAGGAGCTCAGAGATGAGGAGAAGGTAAAACAAAATGACCATGGTGAGGCAGAGGGGTCCAGTCAGGTGTGGCTTTGTAGGTCCCTAGAAAGACGGAACACTAAGTAGAATGAGGTACCATTAGAAGTGTTTAAGCAGCAGAATAACACCATCTAACTTTTGCTTTAAACAGTTCACTCTGGATTTTGCCTAAATATATACAATTGGTTCTCACTTTACACAGGTTGGTCATCCACACAGCAGCTTGAGCAGAATCCCAACAGACAAGCAAGATGCACCCCTGGTACTTCTAAGAATGTGCTTTCAATACATAAGATTGCCTTCCTGGAACTCCAACTTGCCCTTGCCTTTTCTCATCTCCTCTATGAATGAAGGTGAAAAATAGGGCCCTATGTCCATGGCTCACAAATCTCACCACTTAAAAGCAAGTCCTGAATGAAGACATTAAAGACAGCAAGAACCCCTTCCCGACATTTAGATCCTCACATCAAACTAAAGTCCCAAGACCAAGAGAAACCAGCAATCCATGTCCAGGGTCAGGGGCTTACTGATCACTGATGTCTGATGCCATCACCGATGCCAGACCACTGAGTGATCCAGAAGCCAAGCCAGTGGAGTGGTCAGCTTGACAGCCATCCAGTCCACTCCCAGCACAACACTATCCCAGCATCCAACATGCCAAAGGCAGTCCATGTGAGGCTATATTTGCAGTAATACCCTGCCAAAAATCTGGGCTAATCTGACTCTGCTATTCATAAATTCCCCCTCATGTTAAAGCACATGTGTTTGGGAAGGAGAAATGAATCCAAGTCAATTTTAGACGCTGTTACTTGGAAACCATCTGGAGTCCCTGGAAGCCTAAGAAGCCACCACATCCCCTGCCCTCAAATGCCCACTGTAACTAGGGCAGTATGCTTCGATGGAGTTGAGCTGTCCTCTATTCCCCAGGGAAGTCCCCACCCCCATCCTGCCAGGTGCCAGTTCAAGCTTCACTTCCCACCCAACAAAGGTATTTGGTTTCTCAGCAGACCTGGTGGAGAGCACTCCATGTGTTGAGCTTGTACTTGAACTGCACCCAAGCCTGGGTTCTTTGCTCTCTTGATTGCTTTAAATTGCACACCTGAATTCCTTTGACACACCAGCAACGGAAATCCTTCCCCAGGCGCAGAGGTTCCACGAAAAATCCCTTCTACCTAACAAGCCGGGTGTTCCAAGAACGACTAGCTTTGGAAGAGACCCACCAGGATCCTTACGTAACCTTAATAGATGTTGGCACCCCGCAGGGCCTCTCCTGGAGACTCTGGCCCAGATCTAGCTCATTTTCACCAGGATGTGAGCAGGCTGCGTCTGGCAGATTCCTGGGACTTAGCTAATTTGGACTGAAAATGGGGGCAGAGGGTCGCTCAGTCTGTCCCATCCCCTACCTGACTGCGCCCTCTGCCTATCTCGTTTTCTACAGCCTCCCTCCCTCCTCTGAAAATCAGTCTTGGGACCAAGCCTACAGCAGCGCCATGCCACCAGCACCTTGCCCCTCCCCGCCATCCTCGCCCCACCTCCAAACGCTTTAGAAACCCGGCCAGGAAAGTGATCCAGCATCTCGAACAGGCACAGTCCCTGAAGACAAACACGGCGGAAGGGGCAGGCCGACCAGGCCCAACACTACCCCAGGACCCTAAGCAGCCCTGAACTGGGCGCAGGAGAGGAAGGGAATCTCCGGAGACAGCCAACCGTTCCGAATCCTCCTGTACGAGCACCGCAAACACCTGTTTCCAGGAAGATACGCGGCCAGAGCAAAAGGGAGTCCCAGGGAAACGCAGGGAGGGCGAAGTGAGGGGGCAGCCGGGGACGCAGGTGAAGGATGCGTCACCCTCCGCGCTAGGCAACCAAAGCCGGGCACTGGCGGGCGGGGATCGGGGTCGCGAAGTTGGGAGAGGAGAGGTCGTGCCCGCCAGGAGCGCGGAGGAGGGAGGGGCGCGGGAGCCGGAGGCCCGGAGGCTCCATCACCTGCGCCCGGCAGATGCAGCCCCGCAGGCGCGCACCGGCCCCGGGCGGCCAGCGGGTGACCTACCTGCCCACCGTCTGGTTGGCCAGCTGGCGCATGCGGTTGAACTGCTTCTTCATCGTGGCCCCGCTGCCGCGCTAGTCCGGGAGCTGGGGAAGGACGGAGCAGCCCGGAGCCCACCGCAGGGTTACATGGCTCCCGCACCGAGCCTCCCGGGCGACGGCGGCACTGCGGAGCCTCGGGAGCCGCCTGGCCCGCGCGCCGCTGCCTCCCGAGGGCACCTCCGCCTACTCCTCCTCCCGCCGCGCCGCCTCCTGCCGCATCCTCCTCACCCGCGCCGCGGCGCCCTCACCGCCACGCCCGTGGCCGCCCTCGCCGTCCGCCCGTCAGCCCGACCGCCCGTCTGCTCGTCCGCCCGTCCGCCGGGGCTACAGCCCCTAGCCCCAGCCCGGCGCGCGGACCCGAGTCTCCGCAGGCTGCCTGGCCCGGGGCCGGGTTGTCCCCGTGCGCCTGTGCGGAGAGCTCTGTGCATGCTGGGACCTGTAGTTTCCCACCCCGCGCCCACCTTTCCTCTGTCCAAAGTTTGCAAGGACAGCATAGTGCAGAGGTGGGAGAAGGCAGAGTCGCCAAGACCTTTACACTTTAGGATTCTAATAAAGAAAATGTTTTCCTGCTTGAAAAGTAAAGTGAAACCAAGGACACAAGACAGAGTGTCTGTCTCACTTTAAAAATTTTTAAATTAATTTTGATTTTATGTGTGTATGAGTGTTTTGTATGTAAGCTCACCAATGTAATTCAATGCCTGGGAATCCAAAGGAGAGCGTCAGATCCCCTGGAACTGAGGTTGTGAACCACCGTGTGGGTCTTGGGAACTGAACCTAGGTCCACCGCAAGAGCAGCATGAGCCCTTATCCTCTGAACCATCTCTCCATCCCCTTCTATTGCACCTTAAGTGAATGTGAGGCATTTCTGTACTGAATTCACAGGAGACCGAGCCATGCTCAAATTATAGAAGGTCTCCTTATTCGTGTAGAGGTGCAAGGTTAAGCTTAGGGCACAGGCATTGACAGCAGATTTCAAACTAGCCATATCATGCCCCCAGAAGTGTCATCCTTAATTTTTACCAAACCCAACAGGCAACCAGAAGCCGACATAAAAGGATAGAATAAGTGGCATAGGGTCTACTACTGGTCCAATCTGAGACAGCTTTCTTAAATGCTTAGATTCTGGTCTCACGGCTATTCCCACCTCTCTTCTCCAACAGAAGATGAAGGGGCATTGGTTGGTCCACCCACTGGCACCCACCACAGGAAGTTGTGTCACTTGCCTTAGAAAATGACAGGTGAAGGGGTCAGTGAGATGGTTCAGTGGGTAAAGGTGTTTGTCACCAAGCCAGATGACCTGAGCCTAATTCCCAGAGCTCACATAGTATAAGGAGAAAACTCCCACACATTGACCACACATACACACACACACACACACACACACACACACACACACACACTGAATAAATTAATATTAAAAGTTTTAAAGAAATAAAGAAATCACAGCTGATCCCTATGAGTGTCAACATAGAGGATCAAGCAAGAGCTGTGTTGTTGGATGATAAGACCTTAGGGTTAAACAGCTATGAGTTCCCATTAGATCCTAATAGCTATTAAATGGCTTTAGGGAACCTGCTGAACCTCTTTAATCTCTAGTCTCCTTGTCTCTAGTAGAGAATACTGCTTTCTGACAGATGGCAAGGAGAGCAATTTGTTAAATTAAATTACATAGAAAGTATCAGGGATTCCACTATCATTATAGCTACCTACCTCAGATAATGATGAAGTTAGCTTAATAGAGAAAAACCCTATTTCGATAGAATGCTTACACTGAAATATAAAAGAACATCTGTGACATAAGCTATTTTGCATATGTTGATTATAGTAGGAAGATGTCCTAAATATGGCTCCAAGTATCTTGCTGGCCAGCTGAACAAAAGATGGTTTGAGGCATGTTTTGGTTGAATGAACATGAAATCTTTAATTAACTGTGAATTTAGCCTCTGTTTATTAGGTTAAGAGTTCTAGCCAATTAACAAGTGAAGGCATCAGTTGCTTTTAACTGAACACATATGGCTATAATGTCAATATTATGTTTATTTAAACTAATTATTTCGATTTTGAATATTTTTAAAAAACCTGGCTGTGATGGTCAAATTGATTGCCAACTTGACAGGGTCTAGAATCACCAGGGAGACAAACCTCTGTGTGTGAGAGAATTTCTAGGCTAATTCATGTAGGAAGACCCATTCTAAGTGTAGGCAACATCATTGCATGGACTGGGGTCCCAGGCTGCATAAAAGAGAGAGAGTGGGCTGAGAAGCGTTTATGTCTTCCTGACTGAAGACACAGGTGACCAGCTGCTTTGTGGTCCTACTACCATGATTTCCTCGCTAAGATGGATTACACCTTCAAATTGTGAGCTCAAATAAAAATTATTAAGTGGCTTTGGTCAGGGTATTTCATCATAGCACAGAAAAGTAACCAACACATGGATACAGCATGGTTCTATGTGTGTAAGTAACTGTGAGACAGTAAGGGCATTATATATGACTTTTACCACTGTTTCTCATCATATTTAGAACTGCTTTCCCCTGGCCACATATGACGATTGACATTTAAATTAAGTAAAATAAAAAGTTTAATTCCTCAGTCACCCTAGTCACAACTTAAGTGCATTTCCTATTTCTGTCCCAGAGAAAGGATGACAGCATGGGAAAAGAAAAAAAGAAAATGATTTCAAGTCTACTGTTTTGATTTTTCAAACCAGACTTCAGAAACTTTTGTAAAAGAATCAAATTTTTAAAGAACGGAGTTTGGGCTTCAAGAACACAAGCTTTAATGTAGATCATGAAGACTTTAATATTCTCCTCGGCTAAAAAACCCACAGACTGCAGGGTGCTGAAGATGGTGACTGGGGAGATGAAGTGTAGAGAAAAGTAGATGATACATGTATAGATTCTATCATTGTCCAAAAACTGCTGCCTCTACAGGAGGGGTTCTATTTTACCCTCTCACGGAGGTCAAGAGCAGTCAGGTGATTTCCTATGGACAAGAACTAGCCACAGAATATTCTGCCATAATGCCAACAGTGAATAAGTTATGGGCTTCTGTGGAGTAGAGTGCCAGCCATGTAGCTAGAATGAAAAAGGTACCTTGGCTATTTTACACCAGAGGTTTGGGATTGTTACTGTGACACTGAGTCTGTAGTAGATATCAGAGAAAGAGCTTGCGCCTTGCTTCTTCCTGTGTTTCCTACTTGAGTTGGGTCCAATAGGCTGGAGCAAACCTCTCACATACCTTTGAGGAATCTGGGAACAGTGAATAATCTGTTGTCCTCTTCCTGAGTGAAAGTGAGGAATCTCGTACTCACAGAGATCCTCTACCTTGTACAGCACAAGAGCAGTGAGAGGTCCAGGGAAAGTACAGGAAGTGCTTCCACATAGTCTTGTACAGCCATAGATGTTCCTGCAGGAAAGCCATGTTCAACGACTTGGGTTTTCTTTGTTTTTGTTTTTTATAGGGGAGGGTATGCCATTCCGTGAGGGGCTACAAAATTACCTGAAAGAGCTGGATGTGAAAGCTACTATGATCACAGATGAGCAGAAGGCACTAGCAGTCAGGGTGTGAAACAAAGGCTGAATTGTCTGAAATGTAATTTCTGCAGCCTAGAAGAATATTCTTAAAAGTAAACCAGCACCCGCATGGCAGCTGACAACTGTCTGTAACTCCAGTTCCAGGGGATCCTATGACCTCTTCTGTCCTCCACAGGCATTGCACGACACGGGTGCACTTACCTACATGTAGGCAATACACTCATATACATAAACTAAAAATAATAAAAAATAAAAAGTAAAAAAAAAAAAGTAAACTCCACTTGCAAGAGGAAAGAGAAGCAGAAACAGGAGAGGTGGGAGGAAAGAAGAAAGAAAATTAGATTTCTATTATATTTTATTTGTATTTTGTGTGTATGAGGGTTTTTTTCTGCTTGTATTTAAATGCACCATCTGGGTACAGTGCCTATGGAGGCCAGAAGCTGGCATCAGATCCCATGGAACTGGAGTTACAGACAGTTGTTAGCTGCCTTGTGGGTGCTGGGAACTGAACCCTGGTTCTCTGCAAGAGCAAGCAGTGATCTTAACCCTGAGCTATTTGTCTAGCCCACAGATTTCTTAGATATTCTTTTTTAAATATTTACAAAAACTTTATTGAGAATTTCATACATGCATATAAGGTGTTTTAAGCCAATACATGCCCACTCCCCCCCTTCTAAAACCTCCCATATCTCCCCATCACTTTCTTCTTTTTCTTTTTTTTTTCTTGGTCCATTTATGTATTTTTAAAGGGCTTTTGGCTACTCTAACATTCCCCCCTCTGAAGAGGTAATCCTAAAATCTTTTGGGGATTAGATACAAGCTCCCAAATACTTTTGACATTTTTGGCCTTTGGAACAGAGTATGTTGCTAAGAAGCCCGAGGACATTATGAGTCCAAGAAACTGACTACTTTTCTTTGGGGTCTTTTTACCCTGCCTAGCCAATTCCTGCCTCCTATTCTTATCATGCCATCCTCTGAAGGGGTTACCCAAATTGCCAATAGGGAATCAGGACACAGACCACCCTGGCTTCTTCCATGCTGAACAGGGACGCAGGGTGAGGCAACTGGGGTACCCCTTCAGTAGGTCTATCTAAAAGACTCCCAAATTGCATAACTTGTATCTCTAAGGGCTTGAATCGTGAATAGGAGATGTGAAGGAGAAGTAAAGGCAAGAGTAATTACAAGAAGTAAAAGCGTTACAAGTTCTACACAGGGAACCAGAAAAAAAAGTCAGAACAGGGAAAATTTCAAATGTTCATATCAGAGTCCATGGGATTTCTTGATGCAAGCTTCCAAAAGCATCTCTATTGGGTTTATCCTCATTTTTCTTTTGTCTGCCAAGGCTGGACTTGAGAGTGATGGGTTCAGGATTTGTTTCAGGCACTTTGACACCTGTTGGAGGGGTTAGAATCAGTGTTGGTTCCCTCTCAAAGCCTTCTAAATAGGGGAAAAACAAATTTAGCCATCATTTTAGAACAATAGCGAGTTGTCTCCCTTAGCTACAGGTGGGCACTACATCGTGGGAGACTAAGATTTGAAGTCTTATGTCTAAGCAGCACTTTCTGGTTAGAAACAAAATCATCAATGAGAAATAATTGTCTAAATAACTTTTTATATAGACTTAAGCCTAATGTCTAGGAAGTGTAATCCCTTGAACCCTTAAAGAAATATACTGATCACTTTACTCTTTGGTTATACTTTCCTTTTGTGTTCCTCAGGGGTCACAGGGGCTTGG